GATACTTGTTTTTCTTTTCTTTTCCTTTCTTTCTTTTTTTTTTTTTTTTTTGCTACACTGATCTGTGATCATCTTTTTTCCTGCCCCATAGCTAGTTTAAAATATATAGCCTCCAGAAAAATTTTAAGTCAAAAATCAAAACATCAAAACCAGTTCCTGCTGTTATTTCCCAAGATAGATCACTGAACAAAACTAATTAACTCGAGATGTTCTTTCTATGCCTTTGCTTCTTGTTTTTAAAACAACCTTGGCTAGTTTTTAAATAACTGCTCTCAATATTTAATAGGCAACTTGAAACTTTTACTGACTGTTCATTTTAAAAAAACTTTTTTTTTAAATTGCACATCTATTGTGGGCCAGGCATAACGCAAAGCACAGGGCTCAGATGCACATGGTCCCGGTGAAGGGAAATTAAATGGGCTGCTGGGTGATGAGGGCTGAGGTCAAAGCCCTGTGTGCAGGAGGCAGGTAGAGAGGGGAGGCCTAGGATCAAGCCGATGTTGGGTCCCCTGCTGTCTCCATCTGAAGTCATTGGCAGGGTGAAAAGTAGGGAAATAGTCCAGGCCTGGAGGCACGTTGGAGGGAGAGGTAAGGAGATGCTAGTGTTCTGGGAATGCAGGGTGGAGCCTGGCTCACCATATAGATGTTTGGCCCTGGAAGTCCGGTAGAGGCGCGTGAGGTCCTCTGTCCCTGTGGGACTGCATCCACTTCAGATGCCATCTCTCTTCTGGCGCTTCCTATAAGAGGAAGTGGGTTCAGTTCCCGCTCTGTGTCATCCCTCAGGTTCTGCTGATCATGGAGGGACATGTGACCAGCTCTCCTCTGAACACTTCCTCTTGTTTTCCACATCTCTGTCATCATCGCTGTTTTTATTATTACTGTCACCTTTGTACTTCTGTGTAACCTGACACTCTAGCGCAGAGCACATAGTAAATGTGGGTGCGTTTGTGTAGAAATACTGAGCTGTCAGCACACAGTGTCCTCTTCCCACATGAACAAGAAAACTGTCATTGGCCTAGTCCTCAGTTCTTTTTTGTTAAATTTATTTTATTTTGAAGAATAAAATAAAAAGCAAAAACAAATAGCAGATACAAAGACAGAAACAGGGTAACATACATATGTTACAGATTTTTAATACAAGAATAGCAAATTTAAAAAGAATAGCAAATTAACAATGGTTGTTATATTACGTATTTTTATCAAATCTGTTCTCAGATTAACAGATATAGTTAATTGGACAAGTAATTGAATATTAATGCTTGCTTTCAATAAACCTTAATTTTTTCTTGTCTTTGATGCTTTTTTAAAAAATTTATTTTAAAGAGAATATAATAATATGTGATAAGATATTGGAAATAGTACACATTTAGAAGATCAAGATGAGGGGTATTCAACCATAGTTTTTGTATCACACATTGCTGTCCTCGATGTAGTTGCTTAGATTGCAGATATCAGTATGCAGAGTTAAAGTGAAAATTCTAAACATTACTATTTTCAAAAAAACTGATGTCAGTTATTAATACAATCATCTCAGCTCATTTCTTAGTCTTATCTCTTTTGATCCTTCATGATGATCAGGTACATTTTCCCTCTTGCTTTTCAAAGGTCTGTGAATAGAGTTCTCAAACCCTGAGAGCTGACAACAGAACCATTCCCAGTAGATTCATTCATTCATTGCATGTGTACAGCTTAAGTTTGCAGAGCAGATGGCCCTACTGAGCGCAGGAGAGTGTTTCTCTGGGCAGCACTCCTTTCAGGAGCTAACATAGTAATGGAGGGAAACATTTGGAACAAATGACTGCATTTGATGGGAAAGAGGGCACTAAAGAGACATGAACTTCTAGAAAGCAAAGCAGGAAAAGCACTTCCTTTCAGCATCTGGTTTTCTGCATGTGACCCTATAATGTCCTCGCTGCTGTGAGGGCATTGTCAGTTAAAGTGAACAGGTTCAGTAGCTCTGGGAGGTGAATGCGTGCGGCCATGAACAAGAGCCAAGGGGATGTGTCTATTTTGTTTGGTTTTGTTGTTAAAGGAAAGCATTGGAAATATTTTCTAACTTGTAAGTTATTCCATTAATATTTGTGCTTGTCTGGTAGCTCACAGTAACATTTTTACCTTGCTTCATTTGCAGGCTCTGGAAATCTGTCAGCAGAGAAACTTCGTGGAAGAGACAGTTTATCTTCTAAGTAAGTAGTTTCATTTTTAATTTCAGTTCCCACAAAGAATGGTGAGGCAACTGAGGCAGATTGTGTAAGAGTTGATGTTCGTTTCAAAATAAAGTAACACAATTTGATGTCCATTTTGTACAAGAGTTTCATATGTAAAAGAAAGAATTTAATACATGAAAAGGATGAATATGTGAAAAAAATCATGACACACAGGAGAAGGGTTATTGAGTAAATACGGTTGAAAGAATATACTAGTAATTTTAATAAACACAAGAAACAAAACTGTCCTTTCACAGCAGATCAAAACTAGTTTTTTAAAAAAATTATAATCAAAAAAATGAAAAATAAAAAATTGTACCCTGCCTCTAGTACCCATCATACTGGTAGAAAATTATCTTCATTTTCAAAACTCACACCATATATAAATGGAAGAAAGGCAGTTAAATATGGAATTTAAAGAGAAACTTTTAATTTTTGGTTTTTAGAGACAGGGTCTTACTATACAGTTCAAATTGGCCTTGAACTCACTATGTAGCCCAGGTTAGCCTTGAACTTGTGACGAACCTCCTTCCTCAGCCTCCAAAGTGGTGGGATTACAGGCATGTGCCACCGTGCACATCTTCAGCAGGACACATTTTAACACAGTGTACTCCCCAGTTGTCTGGTCTCCTGGTTCCTGTCCTGGCACATGTCCTTGTGTCTGGACCAGACACTGCAGGAACAGAACTCTCATATTCCATCACAGTGCATCAGAGCAGTGCAGGGTTTCCTGAGGGTGTCATAAGGAAGCCAGATACTAGTGATATACAGAAGAAAGTTTCTGTTAGCTGTTTCTCCAGTGTCACTTTCTCCTTAGGGTTGTACCATGTCATAACCTTCTCCTATACAACTGTCACTGGCTCCTTTGGCCTCTGATTTGGCCTCTGATTTGAACAATTTCCAAATCTTCTTTTCCCACTTACGCACATGCAATGTATGGTCACTTAACAACAGACCTGGGACTTTCTAATTCTGGGACCTTCTTACTGGGGCTACATGGCTACATTTGGTCACTTGAACATATTTTGGAAGGTCCTAATTTACAGCCTCAAGTAGTTCATCCATTTACTTCTTGTTCCCAAAGAAATAATCTACTAGAATACTTTCTTGTCATCTTAATATGCAAAGGACTTATAAAGATAGCTGTGTTTGGTTTTGTAAATACTTAAAAATCCTATACATGTAAACAGTAACTATTTTGAAAAAGTTATAGCATCCTGAAAATAACACTGTTAATAAAAACATAGTGCTACCAAAAGGATATGAAGTGGGATGTCCTGTTTTGGGTTTGTTTGTTTGTTTGTTTGTTTGTTTTTTCACAAGACTGCTATTAGAGTGGAGTGGTAGGACATTTTGGTCTTTGTCCGTGGGTCGGTACGGCCTCTTGTTACATGTGGCACGAAAGTAGGAGGAGTATCTCTAAAGTAGATTTCTCCAAGTGGAATTGCCCAGTGGCAGTAGCTTTTAAAGGGACCAAACTGGATGTGATTTTTCCATTGAAGAAGACAAACTGGATGGTGGAGAAATAAGTGGAGTCTTGCTAGAATAATCTTGAGAATATAACAAGCAGATAAGGAGACATCAAGACTTGGGAAGCAAGTTGCGTTCATCTGCAATAAACACTGATGAGAAAAAAATGACTATAAGGAAACTAGAAAAATCCTTCTTTTCTCACAGACCTTACTTCTCTTAAGGCAACACCTTTTTGAAATTTTGATTTCAAAAGATAATTTAGACTTAATTATGAGGGAAGCTGTATAGAAAAGAATCACCAATTTTATTAATTTGGAAATCCTCTACCAGATTTTACTCCTTGTGATAATAGCCCCTTGTAAGTCAATGTAGAAATCCTTTTGTACCCTGTCTGATAGCAGAGCATTCTTTACCTGAGAGAAATCCTATGAATTTACTGAATGTGGGTGAACATTTATTCACATGTCTCATTGAATGGAAGTCATGCTAAAGAGACACTGCTTTTAAGGAATAATTGAAAAGCCATTAGCTAGATGACGAATCAGAAAATTCATACTGGAAAGAAACCAGTGAATATAGATAATAGCATATGCTCATTGAATATTAGAACTTTATACTAGAGAGAAAGATTTGCTTGTGGTGCTGGTGGTAAAATTATCTCTCAAACTTTATCCCTTGTTCTGCATCTGAGGGGTCATATAGAGAAGTTTTATAAATGTAAGAAATGTGGAAATATCTTCAGCCAAAAGTAAATCCTCATTCATCAGAAAATTTATACTGGTGAGCAACCTTGTGAATGTGGGAAGGCTTCCATTCCAATGTCACACCTCAGTCAGCAGAGAAATTATAGTGGGGGAGCCCCCTTTGCCTGTAAGGTATGTAGGAAAATCTTCAGCCACAAATTCAGTCTCAGTGAACACGAACATTTTCATACTAGAGAGAAACCTTTTGAATGTAATGAATGTGGGAAAGCCTTATCCAAAAGCAGTATGTCATTAAACATCAGAACACCCATACTGGGAAAAATCTTTTTGAATGTAATGATTGTGGAAAATCCTTCAGCCAGAAAGAGAACTTCCTTACCCATCAGAAAATTCACACTGGAGAGAAACCTTTTGAGTGCAAAGATTGTGGGAAAGCTTTCATTCAGAAGTCAAACCTCATCAGACACCAGAGAACTCACACCAGAGAGAAACCCTTCATATGTAAACAGTGTGGGAAAACCTTTAGTGGCAAATCAAATCTTACTGAGCATGAGAAAATTCATATTGGAGAGAAACCCTTTAAATGTAATGAATGTGGAACAGCTTTTGACCAGAAGAAGTACCTCATAAAGCATCAAAACATTCACACTAGAGAGAACCCCTATGAAAGTAATGAATGTGGAAAAGCCTTTTCTCCATGAACATCACTTATTGTACATGTGAGGATTCATTCAGGTGATAAACCTTATGAATGCAATGTTTGTGGAAAAGCCTTCTCTCAGAGTTCTTCTCTCACAGTGCACATGAAAAGCCCTACGGTTGTAATGAATGTGGGAAAGCTTTCTTACAGTTCTCAACTCTAGGCCTACATTTGAGAATACACACAGGTAAGAAGCCTTATCAATGTAGTGAATGTGGAAAAGCTTTCAGCCAGAAGTCACACCACGTTAGACATCAGAAAATCTATACTCATTAAGACCTGTGAATAGCTTCAGAATGGGAAAACACGCACCAGGAATTGGTATCTCGCGTGTAACAGAAATATTTTGAAGTGGAGCATCCTGAGTGAGATGAACTTTTAAACAAATGCTAAGACTTTAGAGGACACCAATAGTTCATACTGAAGAAAAAGACATTTGTATGATAAAAAGACTGCTCAAACAAAAAAAATTAAAAAACTACATCAAAAGTAACACTGACTTTAGATGCATTTCCCTGAAATTGGGAGCGGAAAATAAAGGATTGTTACTATACTCAGCATAAATCTGGCGATCTTTGCCAGTATAAGAAAAGTTACAAGTGTTACAAAGGAAACAAAAACATATGATCATATGCAAGTAATAAGCCTTTGTGATAGTGAGTCAGCAAAGCAGGAGAGATTCTATAAAGACCTTGCATTTATTTGAATTTGGAATGTGAAAGAGATGGCATTAGGAGAAGAGGAAATAGTTTTTTAAAAATTATTTGGTGGTAATTGTTATCTAAGAATGGGTCATGGATTATACAGAAAAGTAAAACTCATCGAATGAAGACAGCATTATTACAAGCTAGTGTACAAAAAATGGTTTTGATTTTGGGAGTAGAAAAGCATTTCTTGTAACAAAAAATACATGCTTAATGCTTATACTCAGAAAATAGTAGGAGTTTCTCTGTGGCTCAATTTGTAGAAGCTAAATATTAGAATTCAAATATCCATCTAAAACAAGAATGTAAAGTTCTTATGATGGAATACTACGCATCTATAAAAATGCAGCAGATGAAAGCCACATGTTCATGGAAATACCTAAAAAGTTGAGATGGAAAAAAGTTGGAGAATGGTATATATATAGTACAGTGACTTTGTAAATTTGAATTTTAAACATTTGCCTGAAGTTCAGTACTTTATATTGCTAATGGTTACACATAGATATGTAAATGTTTTTGAAATCAATTAGAAGGATACAGACCAAACTCCTGATGGTGGCCTGTGAAGAATGGAGAAGGGATGGGAGTGAGTGTGGGGTGGGGTGGGAGGGGCTTCATCTTTGTATATAAGTATCCATTTCTCTGCAAGTAAATATATGAAGAAACTCACTAATTCTGCATTGTGGTATAAGGATATCATGTCTTATTTTTTGTACTTTTCGGTATTTTTAAAGTTTCACAAAATTAAAAGAATAGGGTGATGAGAATCTATACCTGTAGAAGTTACGTTATAATAAATTCCCAAATACCAAACTTTTTATAGAAATTATTTCTAAAAATTTTATCAATAATCAGTGGATGGCTTACTGTATGTAATATGAAATCTATTTTATTAAAATTTAAAATGATGACATTCCAAAAAAAAAAAAATTAGAGTGGAGTGGTAGCCCACAGTAAGAAGGATTCAAGATCCTTTCCCTGCCTCTGTGTGGGTAGGAACCAGGGGTAAGGTAGCAGCCCATAGCAGGATTTCTAAAGCATGAATGATGCAGAAGCTTGTGGAAATTATTTAAAGGTTTGAAATGCCAGTAGATCAGTGAGCTAAGAGTGTAAAGATAACTAGCTATCAGAAGCGTAGGTGGTAAATAATTGCTCTCGTGAAGGGTATTGCAAGGCTTTCCCATGACCTTGGCATAAGAGGTGGGGGCTGCCACTGATAATTGAGTCTGCAGTTGTATGAGAGTAACAACATGCAAAGCCACCTTAGAGAGGCACAGTAACTTCCTCAGCCTCTAAAAGTCTTAACTGTACCAATTTGAAGATGCCACTATGCAGAGGCAACATGGGTGTGAGAGGGAAGGCAGAATCCAGCACACCTGGACTCAAAGACCAGCTCTCCCTCTGAGTAGCTTTAGGGTTGTGCATGGCAAGGGACTAATATTTCCCTAACTCTTGTATAAAGTGGTAGCAGTAGTAGAACATCCTTCATAGGATCCCAGGGATTCTTTTGTTTTTTTAGTATTTAGTACAGGGTCTACAGGATCTCACCGCGTCCATCAGACTCATAGTGATCCTTCTGTTTTTAGCCTCCCCAGTGCTGGGACTATAAGCAAGTGCCACCACGCCTGTTTTCAGTGGCCAGCACAGTGTGCCTGCGGGCACAGCACATGGTGCTGGTGACTGAACCTGGGTCCTTGCCCTTACCAGGCAAGAGCTTAGACCACTGAGCTATCTCCCCAACCCCAAAATGCACTTTTGACTTAGCTTCTAAACTGCATTAGTGGCTTACAAGAGATTCTCAGCTATTTATTTTTTAAATAAATGATGCCTTTCTCACTTCCTCCCCCACCTAGGCCGGATGGGCAACAGCCGAAGCGCCCTGAAGATGATCATGGAAGAATTGCATGATGTGGATAAAGCCATTGAATTTGCCAAGGAGCAAGATGATGGAGAACTCTGGGAAGACCTCATTTTATATTCCATTGACAAACCACGTAAGCAGAGGAGCCACCTGTGATTGTAGTGTTTTCTCTCCATATAGCCAGTTACATGTAGAGTAAGATTCATCTCAGGTGATACTGAGTCAAAAATAGAATGAAGTACCTGCAGTAAAAACCAGCCAGGCATGTGGTAAGGATTCCCGACACCCTCTTGTGCAGAAAGGGCTGGTGTCTCCTCATGGTGCCCTACTGGGTGTGACACAGAAAGTTGGTATGCAGTTTTATTAGCTGTGCCCCATGAGCAAATTACATCCACATCAAGTACATGTCATCTGTGTTGGGTTGGTTTTTCATTAGTGAACCAGCGCATTTATTTTGAAATTATGTAGACCTTACCAGTCCCTTTATGGAAGGTTATCTGAGCACAGTACAGCCTTTACTCTCTCTTTCTTGTCCCATTTCATCAGTGTAGCCCAGGAGTTAGTATTTGTTGGCCTTTTGGTCTACTGTATGCACTGAGCTATAGTTTTTGAAGCAAAAGCAGTTACCCAGCAGTAACCCAGGGCCTCTTTTGAAGACTAAGTAATGATTAACAGGCTAGCAATAGTGATATACAGTCTCCTTTCCCTCCCCTTGGTAGAAGGGCTTCAATAATGTTCAGGTACCTTCATCTGAAATTGGCTGCAGTGACATAATCTTATGAAATACATGGAATGTAATTCAGTGTGATAAAGTAGTAGTTTAAGACTCTTAATAGACCAAGTGAGCACATTCAGAACCCACAGTGGACATACCAGTATGGCCAGGTTTTCACTTTTTTTTTTTTTTGGTACTGCGGATCAAACTCAAGACCTTGCTCTTGCTGGGCAGGCACTTATACTGCTGAGCTATCTCTCCGGCCCTTATGGCCTGGTTTTGAATGTGGGATCATTGCATGCTAGCTTTGTGATTCTGGCAAATCAAATATCTCCTTTCCCTTATCTGCACAGTGGGGACACGTAACAGTTCTACCTTGCAAAGTATTAGAGAGAAGAGTATAATAATAGATGAACCACAGGAAGTTCCCAGTAAATATTAGATTTTTTTTTTAATTTAATTTTAGGGAAAGGTCTACAGGGTGTTCAGGGTCTCACTACTAGATTGGACTCATAGTGATCCGCCTCTTTACAGCCTCCCAAGTGCCGGGATTACAGGTGCATACCACCACTCCTGGTCTCCATCACCATCTCAGCACAGCCTGGGGGGCGTGACTGGCACAGCAGGCCCAAGGATCGAACCCCTGACCCCTGTACCTGCTTACAGGCACTTTAATCCGCTGAGCTATTTGACTGGCTCAGTTGTTTCCTATTGACTGTACAAACTGTTTTGAAGGAACATTATCATTTGTTTGTCTTTTTTTGTTTTTGTTTTGTCTTTTTGAGACAGGGTTTCACAATGGATTTCAGGCCGGCCTAGAACTCATGGTGATCCTCCTGCCTCAGCCTCCCAAGTGTTGGGATTATAGGCATGCACCACCATGTCCAACTGTTTGCCTGTCTTTAAACCGTTCTCATTTAGCTTTTTTTATATGTATACCTTTTTTTTCTAAAGTTAAAAATTCCTTAATTTTTTATTCCTGGTACCACTACTACAATTTACAGGGCAGTATACCTGATGCAGTGAAAAGAAAGATAAAAGACCTCAGGAATGTACATCTAATGTACGCTACATTGCATTAATCAGTAGCTGCACTTTTTGTGAACTGGCTATGGCAGTCCTGAACCAGAAGGGTTTCCTGTTTAAGCTGCAGTAACTTTTCTGACTGTGCATCATCATTCCTTCTGTGGCAGATTCTTACAGTTCCTCTAATGCATTTGATGCAACTGTCTCAAAGTAACCTGCAGCTTTCCTGACAACTCCTTGCTCTCTCTCCTGCTAAGAACTGTAGCCCTTTTCTGTTGTTTCATAAAACCTTCTGCTACCATATCCACCACTTCTACCACCAGATCCATAACCACCACCATTGGGACTTCCAGAGCTTCTTCCACCAAAACTGCCCCCTTTCATGGGTCCATAATTTGACTGCTGTTGTCCACTATAATTTCCAAAATTATTACAGTTCCCACCACCACCGTAGTTACCACCATCAAAATTTCCTCCTTCATTGTAACCATCATATCCTCCTCCACCACCACCGTATCCCTCACCTTGGTTTCCATATCCTGGTGCACCACCATACCCTCTTCTACTACTGTAACCAGGACCACCACCATAGTTTCTACCATCACCTCCAATCCCATTATATATGCCATCAGCTCCTATATAACTGCCTCTGCTGCCACCTCCTGTACCACCGTAACCTCCTCTTCCACCAAAGTTTCTACCATGGCCAAAATTCCCTCCACTACCTCCAAAGTTTCGTCCGCAATCCATAAAGTTGCCAGATCCATCTCCAAGGCCTCTTTCTGATCCAGCAGACTGCATCTCTTGTTTAGAACGGGCCTTTTTCACTTCACAATTATGCCCGTTAATAGTATGGTATTACTGAATAACAATTTTATCAACTGTGTCGTGATCATCAAAACTTACAAAAGCAAATCCTCTCTTTTTCCCCACTCTGCCTGTCTTCCATAACTTCTGTGGTTTCAATCTTGCCATATTTTTCAAAGTAGGTGCTCAAATTCTATTCTCCTGTATCTTCTTTAATACCACCAACAAAAATTGTCTTCACTGTTTGATGGGCACCAAGCTTTACTGAATCCTTTCTAGAAACAGCTCTCTGCTTCCTCTACACGCCCATAACTTTGTGCGGCCAAGCACACATTACTGCATCCACCTCTTCAGCACAAGAGTAGCGTTTTGCTTGAGGATCTCTCATTCACCGCACAGTCTGGGAGTGTGCCCCATTTCTCAAAATGTTGTCTTAAACTACCATTGGTAGTTTGAAAACTCAGACCACCAATAAACAGTTTCCTCAACTGCTGTGGTTCCTTTGGATCATGGCCCTCCATTTTGAGACCAGGCTCATGTCTTCCAACTCAAGTTCTATATGGGACCGCTTTCCTTTATATCTTGAGAAAACTTGATTCTTGAGAGTTTAGAAAAGCAAACTTAAAGGTGTTAACATTTTTTTTAAGTTATTTCTGGTAAAGAGTATTATGTGCACATTAGTTACAAATCAAATATATCATGATGTTGCTTATGCATCAGCTGTCTTCTGCTGTGTTTTGTAGCATTTATCACTGGCTTGTTAAACAACATCGGCACACATGTTGACCCAATTCTCCTGATTCACCGAATTAAGGAGGGAATGGAGATTCCCAATCTGAGAGATTCATTGGTAAAAATTCTGCAAGACTACAATTTGCAGGTAAGTATCTTGGATGAAGAAGCATGCCTGACCTGCATGACTCATTTCTGGATAAATCTAAGACTTTTATTATTAGACCCTTTCAATTTGACATGTTTTACTTAGGCCCACATATTTGGAAAGCTATTCAAGAAACTAGAGTTGGGCTTGGTGGCCGGTACACATAGGTAATACAAACACTCTAGAAGGTTAAGGTGGAAAAGTCCCAGGTTCAAGCCCAGCTTAGGTAGTAAGCCCATGCCTAAAGTGAAAACATGTCTGGGGACATAGCTCAGTGGTAAGGCCCTATGTTCAATCCCCACTTCCATTCATTAAAGAAAACAAAACTAGAAATGTTACCCCTTTAGGAGTACTGAGTGCTAAGCATCCCCACATACTGGTGTGTGGAGAAAGCCTCGTTCTGACCTCAGCGTGGGACAGGCAGTGTGGCATTGAGGGTGTGGGAATTATGAGGCCGCTACCCAGATGTCTTTAAGGAGAATAGTTTTTCAAATAATTTAATACTTTCTGTTTGTGCCCTTCAGTAACCCATTGTGTGAAACATGATAAAGGATTCCTTCCACTTTACCTGTTCTGCTAGAACAGTACTTCAGTATTCCCTTAATTCAGCATTTGCGATAAGAAAAATACAACCCATTACTCTCACATAGCAAATTACAAAGTATCCTAACCTTTCCCTTAAAAGGATTTAAACAATTTCTGTTGTTAAGGGTGCAGGTAATTTCCATAGAGCTTGAAACTGTTCAAAACATGCTGCATTAAAATTCAGGCTGATTCACTTGAAAATTAGTTTTTGTCATGATGGTTGAAATTGCTTTTCTAGAAACAAAATGACCTCGCAGCCAGAGGCTAAGGTTTTAAGAGGGCCACTGTGTAAGAATTTTCTTGGCAAGTAGTCAGTGAAGTGTGTAGAGTCAAGGGCCACGTGCTTAACTCAGGGTAACATCTATGGTCAGACCAGAAGGAAAGGAGAAGAAAATTAAGAAAGATCAGCGGTGTGGAGAACAGAAGTGTAAAGCAATGGCAGAGCCATAGGGACTAGAGGTTGAGACAGGAAGTGTAATATGTAATATGCTGTTAATATGAAAATTGCCAGTGTCAGAGTGGGTGTTCTAGTATATTCACGATGGACTATTACTCAGGCATAAAGAAAAATAAAATCCTGTCATATGTAGGAAAATGTGTGGAACTAGAAGCCATATGTTCAGGAAAATTAGTCAGAAACTTAAATATCAAACTCTAAATTAAATATTATCAAATATTTTCACTTACAAGAGAACCCCTCCCCCCATAAAAAAAAATAATAATTAAAATGGAGGAGGAAAGACAGGAAACCAGAAGATAAAATTTAGGGAAAGAGAGGTTAGGAGGTTGAAATTGCCTGATATGTAAATGGCATGTGCCATCTTCCCAAAGTAAATCCCATCATCCTGTAGCATTAATATGCACTAATAAAGTTTATAACCTTTTCTGAAAAGTGGGATGAAAGGAACAGTCCTTGGAGTAAATTAGTCAGGACACTGAGGCCACAGCCTTTACGGAGTCCTCCATGAGGACTAGAGTCTCATGACCTTCAGTGTGGCCCTTGCGGTCCACGGGGCCGGAAGCTACCCAGCTTCCTAGGAGGGGGTTTTCCTGCAGGTGCGGATGTGAGCACTCAGGAGGCCTCATTTGAGAGTGCTTACCAGGGAGTGGGTCAGGGTGGGGAGAAACTGGCATTCAGGTGAGGCAGAGCAGTGCTGGGCAGAAAACGTGGTGAGGTCCACATGCCACTTCCAGCTGCTCTAGGGGTTCAGAGATGACCCAGGAAGTGGTGGGAGGGAGAATGAGAATGGAAAGGACAGGCTGATGGGCAGGATGGATTGCAGAGGTGTCTGTGGGGAGCCTTAGGCATGCAGAGCAGGGATCAGGCTGGGAAGCCACCACCGCCAAGGCTTGGAATGGTGAAAGCGGGTTGAGTATCCTGGCCTCCTCTGCCTCTGCACAAGAATGAGCTGGGTGTGATCTGGGCCTCGCTGGCCCTGACCTCCGTGGGTGTGCCTGCAGATGCCAGAAGCTTGGAGTCCAAATTGGTTATGCACAGCGCATGGCCCCTAGGATGAAAGTTGCCTTTCTGTCACCTGGGAAGCTACCTGTAATCCTCCTTCCAGGGCCCGTGCTCCCAAGATGCACACTCATGAAATGACAGCCTCGCTGTTCCTTCATTAGTTTTGAATAAATGGGCATGGCTCTGAGTTGGCTGGGCATGAAAACAAAATTATTAGATGCAGAGCGAATGCAATGTGAAAATCCATTCAAACAGTGCTAAATCAGTACTTTATCCTCTTAATCATGGTCTACAGTGTACTGAGAGCCTGGCGTGCTGTGTAAGCATGCAGTGGGCAGTATGTTAAAGAGGCTGAAAATTAGGTAGCCGGGCAGCCAGAAAGCCCTTGCTGTGTGTAAATCCTCCAGCAAGGGAGAGAGCGGCTTCTCCAAGAAAGAAAGGACCCAGAGGGGAGGTGGCAGAGCCTTGGAAACAGCCACTCCTGTCCCCACTGGGGCTCAGCCGCCTTGGCCAAGGCTGCAGAGAGAAGTGGTGTGCTAGGCAGGTTGTTTCAGAAATTTCAGGGTGCTTCCTTTTCATGGGTGACATATTTCTTTAAATTTTTTAGAGAATAAAAAATAGTAGAAAACATTAAAAACAAGACACAATTTCATTAAGCAAAATGATAGGAATTCACCAATGGTTATGTTACATATTGTTGTCTTCAAGTTGTTCAGATTATCAGATATAAGCATGCAAAATTAAAAAGAAAAGAAAAACAAAAATTTAAGCATTAACTGTCCTTTACAATAGACCAGCAAAAATAAGCAGTACAATTACCGATGTGATCCTGTGTATATACATATTTATTTATTTTTCCTTCTTTCTTTTCTCCTTTCCCTCATCCTAGTTGTTCTTTCCCTTTGAACAGTTTCTTTTCTTTTCACAGTATCTGTTGTACCTTTTGGATTATTTACTTTCGGGTTCTTACACTAAGCATGCGAGTCTGATTTATTTCACTTATGAGTATGTTCTCTAGTTGCATCCACTTACCTATAAAAGCCTCAGGTTTATCTGTCTTTATAGCTGAGTAATATGCCATTGTACAAAAATGCCACATCTTTTTTATCCATTCCTCAGTTGGTGGGCATTTGGGTTGTTTGCAAGACTTGGCTATGACACACTGTGCTGCTATAAACATGGGTGTATGTATATTGCTGGGGTGTGATGTATTTAGTTCTTGTGGAAAAATACCCCAGAGCGGAAGAGCTGAGTTGAGTGGGACCTCCTGTCCTAGTTTTTGAGGAATCCACACTGACCTCCACAGTGGTTGTACCAAGGTACACCGCCACTAGTGGTGGAGAGGGTTCCTTTATCCCCATAAGCCCTCCAGTATTTGTTACTAGTTGACTTCCTGATGATAAGGAGTAGAATTTTTTTTTCTCCTGGGAAGGCACTCTTTTTCATTACTGGCTATTAGGTAACCGATTAGGCATCATTGTAAGAATAGCTTGTATCTCTCCATAGAGCCTTTGCAGTTTCCAAAGGTTTGTAGTATTTCTCTTTGATTCTGTTTAGTCTTTGCTTCATAAAACTAGTTGATTTTTTCATGTTCTCACTCAACACAAAAAAAAATTATACTCCCTCTCATTCTCAGTTTGGTAGGAATTTTGAGGCCAGCAGCAACCCTAGTGGGTATTAACAACTATTCAGTAAGTAGGGATCCAGGTCAGACGTTAGAGAAATGCTTCGTGGCACCATTTTTTGACTGATATGCATTGGAAATCAACCAGGGAAATTTGCCAATTGAATACACAGCATTTATATATATCTGAACACTGAAAATGCTTTGGAGGGTCATTTCCTTGGCCAGTTGTTAATTGGAGAAAGATGGAGGAGAGAAAGTTTTTGGGAAAAACTTGAATAACTAGTTTTAGTTCCACAACAGCTCTCTTTAGTGAAAATACGGCCTCATTATACATATTAAAATCCTCTGACATAGTGGAAGGAAATGAATATTCACCACAGTGCCAGTGTTGAAGTTATTATTAAGCCTTCTTACCTTATGAATGTAATTAGTCAACAGATTTGTAAAAGTTCGTGAAATCATTAAGAAAATAACTTGTGTTACTTTATACACTTAAGATGTTTATAAGTTTGACTTCAAGACAAATAACTGCTTTGATATAAAATTATTCCAGTAGTATATATATAGAAATATTTTTGTTTTTCTAATAACCTGACCGGTTTCCAAGTTACTTGTTTGATTAGTTTTTTCTATTTTTTTATATATTTACATTTTCTATTTTAAATACTTTTTATAAAGTAAACACTTATCTTACATAGCATTTATATCCTTTTCTGTTGTTAGAGAAGTTTTTTCCCTGAGCACCTGTTTTAAACATTCTCCTTTGAGTGCCTTACCTAATAGTTACCTAGGAGCTGTCACCTCCCTAAATCAGAAAGAAGAAATGACCTGCGATCTAGGGTGATGATGGTCTAGGTTTGAGCCCTGTCCTTGGCCGAGTCTTCTGGCTTTCCGCTCCAGGACTGTGTTGCCCCTCACAGCCACAAGGATCCTTGCAAAGAGATCTGCTGATTAGGACACATTTTGGGGTGTCTCTTTATGGGTGACTTCTGGGGGGGTGGCAAACATGTCTCAGCTTGCTCCAGAAGGGGCAGGGCGAGCAGACAGGCTGGCACTTGGCAATGGCCCGCTGAGAGCTGCAGCCTGCTGGAAGGGGAGAGTGTAGTGGTCGGCACCCCCGGGCCTTCCCACACCAAGTGCAGATGGCTCCATCCCTTCCAGTTGTTTCCCGTGCTGACCTGTTCTACAGTCCCCATGCTTCGTGTTTCTCAAGTCTCTGAAACCCGGAGACAAGGGCTGGGGATATAGAGCTCTGTGGCACAGCACCTACTTTTCACTTTTTACCCCCCTACAAGATAGTTTTAAACTTACAGATCACTAAAATGAACTTTGAAGGTGAATTGGATTTTTTTTTAATTTTACTTTAAAAAAATTATTTTAAAGAGTAAAAACAAATAGCAGAAACAAAGACAAAAACAAAATAACAGCCAGCTAAACAGCACAGCAGATTAAAACACCTGCTTAAACAGACACAGCGGCCGGGGTTTGATCTCCAGCATACTGTGCTGGCCCCACTCCCGGGGTGCACTGAGATGGTCATTGAGACTGGGTGTGGTGACGCGCACCTATAATTGTAGCTCTTGGGAAGCTGAACACAGGCAGATCTCTACAAGTGCAGTCTATATAGTGAGACCCTGTAGATTGTAGACCCTATACTAAAAAGTTTACTTCTTGTTTTTTTTGTTTTTTGTTTTTTGTTTTTTTCACGGAACTGGGGATTGAACTCAGGCCCTTGCGCTTGCCAGGGAAGCACATATTCCACTGAGCCATCTCCCCGGCCCTAAAATACAAAAAAAAGTAACAAGTGACAGTACAGATTGTTTCAAAACAATAACAAAAATTGAACAATGGTTGTTATATTATGGATTTTCATTGTCAAATCTGTTATTTAGATGAACCAATAATAAGTATGCAAAATTGGTCAAATAATTAAACATTAATGCTTACTTTCAATAAACTTTAATTTTTTATCCTTTTCACTTTATTTTTTAAATTTATTTTAAAGAGAATATTAGTTGATAAGACATTAGAAATGGTACACATTTAATAGAACAAGATGAGAGGTATTCACCTGTGGTTTTTGTATTGCACTTTGCTATCTTCCTGTAGTTGCTCAGACTACAGATAACAGCGTATAGAGTTAGTCAACATGAGGATTTTAAACATTAATTACTACTTTCAAAAAACTGATGGAAATGAGCACTGTCATCACCTCAGCTGTCCCAAATATATACTGGCATGACTTTCCCCCGCACTTCTTTTTCCTGTCTCTTTTCCCTTTCCGTCATCTTTATTGCTCATTCCTTATGTTCAGTTTCTTTCCATTTCACTGTATCTATTACTCCTTTCAGATTTTATTTTATTCTTTCAGGTTCTTACGCTAGGGAGAGAGTAAGATATTTACACATGTGGCTCTGATTTGAGTATGGCCTCTAGTTGCATCCATTTACCTATAAAGGCCTCCAGTCTGTCTTCATAGCTGAGTAATACTCCATTGTATAAAAAAAAAATCTTTTTTATCCATTCCTCAGGGGATGTGCATAGATTTGATTATGACAAGTTGTGCTGCTATAAACTTGGTTGCGTATATGACACTGTGGTATGATGTTTTCAGTTCTTTTGGAAAAATACCCAGAAGAGAAATAGCTAAGTTCAGTAAGATAGCTCAGTGGTCTGAGCACCTGAATTAGATTTTTTTTTTTTTCCTTTTAAATGATTTCAGTTTGACCTGCTCAGAGTTGTTAGGTGACACAGGTGGACAGGAAGGAGAAGGTGAAAGGAGCCCTGGAGGGAGATAAACCCTTCCGGGCCACACCTGCAGTAGCCCCCTCTTCTGACCAGACCCCACCTCCTCACTGCACGTCAGCTATAAGCACCCAAATCCAGTCACCTTTCAAAAGCCCAGCTCTGCGGGAGGGGAGCAACCAGATACAAACCATGGCAAGGGTGTTACTCAGAGCCCGACAAGCGATGGTCCACGAAGCTTCATCATAGAGTGCATGGGCTCCCGATGCTTAATGAATGTCAGCCTTGTGGAGATTGGAAGGAGACAGGGAGGTGACAGACAGCCCACCGCTGGGAAGGGCCTAAGGTGACCTTGAGAGACAGAAGGCAGCGGAACTCAGGGCTGTGAAAATGAGAAAGGAGCAAAGCCGGCTGCCGCGCTGTTGACTTGCAGGCTTCCTAGGAAAGGCTTTCAGATGAAACAAAATACGAGGGCTTAGGGGGAAGTCATGTCATCTAGAGTTGCTGCAGGGTTACCGGGGCCCGGTCATCAGCGTCACACTTTGCCACGTGCAGATCCTGTGCGTACAGATCCTGTGCGAGGCCACATGGGATCTCGTACAGTTGTCTCCCTGCCACCATCAGGGCTCTCAGTCATTGCGGATGTTATGGGATAGATGACTTCTCTACCAGTGTCCTAATTTTTTGATGCGCCCTCCTATTGTCATGTCTAAAAATGTTTTTCTATATTTCTGATTGGGAGCTTTGGAATGGGATCAAAGGAAGGAGGAAGCAACAAAGTCAGCTGTATTTGTGAACTTTTACTTCCACCCTCTGCAGGCACCCAACTGTGCCTGTTCAGAAGGTGTTGTCCTGCTGGACAAAGGCTCCTGCCTAGTTTTCAGGTTTTGTGCCTGTCCTTTAGTTTGCAGGCTTTACCTAGACTGCTGGCTGAGCCTTCTTCCTGTTAGTCGTGCACCTCCAAGGGTCAGGGTTGGTTCTTTATGAAATACCAGAGATGCTGTGACTGACACTGCTTTTTAAGCTTGTTATGTGGGTGTTGGAAGCTGAGCAAATACATATGCTTGCTTATAAATTTCTGTAAAATTTATACTTTAATGATGTCTGTTAAACTTTAATGTCTTTAAAATGAATCCAATCCAGCTTCATCTGGGTGTGGTGGTGCGTGCCTGTAATCTGAGCAGTATGAGAGGTTCAAGCAGGGGAGTCACACATTTGACCCCAACCTGGGCAGTTTAGCAAGACCCTGTCTCAAAAAAGTTATATGAAAGGGCTGGGATATAGCTCAGTGTGAGGGCACGGGGTTCAATTACCAGTGCCACTACAAATAGCAAGAAACCTGTTGCTAGTGAAGTTGTAACACTTCAGGCAGTCTGCTCATGGAGGAGTTCTCGCATGGAGTCCTGTCCTGCTCATCACAACTACAGACAGCTGGAGCAGAACTGTAATCTGACCGTCACTTCTCCTTTCCTAAGCGTGGCCTTCATGGAGTATATGCATACAGTCTTTTTACACATAGAGGCTCTTGGGGACTTAGGGGAACACAGGCCATTGGAGGTAACAGGCGTAGAGGACCACGCCTGGCCACTCCCTTAGCTCCCTTTCTCCAGTAACATGAATTTAAACCTCTACCAGTAAGACACCTGTAGGTTTGGCATTAGAGACTGATGTCACTTGCCCACTCGACAGGGGCACTTGCTGTAACCCATAACCACTAAAGGTCACGTGCTGCTCATTCATCGAGGTTGTTTGCACACAGTGCCTTAGTCACGATGTTCTTACAAGGGCTACAGAGCCACTGTGTCATCATGTGAAAAATAGAAAAGATGTGAAGGGTAATAAGTGGCTTGTGGCTGCCCACGTCTGTCCTCTAAGGCTTCGGGGGAGGCGGAGGAGGGTGACAAGGGCAGGAAAGCAGGAGGATTTCGAGCACAAGGACTTTCTGAGGCACCAGTAAGCAGCCCTTCCTCCCAAGGTCTAGCTTGTTCAGGATGGCTTTTCTCTTCAAATGTGTGCACTAGATTCTGCTGCGGGAAGGCTGCAAGAAGATCCTTGTCGCCGACTCCTTGTCTTTACTGAAGAAGATGCACCGAACTCAAATGAAAGGCGTTCTGGTTGATGGTGGGTAGGACCACCCCCTGGGGCCATGCTGAGGGAACAAAGCCACTTCTAACTCCAGTGTCTTCTCTTACAGAGGAGAACATCTGTGAGTCCTGCCTGTCCCCCATCCTCCCCACAGGTGAGAAGTTGGAGGGAAGTTGCCCAAGATATGTATCAGTAGTGGGTGGGAGTAAAATTCTGAAACTGACTAATTGCTAACCTTCAGGTGAGGGATTATTTCCACCTCTGTCCTTGCTAGGGAATCTGGGCTAAGGATTATTTCCTTTGTCTCTTTGCCTTTGCCTCTATTCTGTTTGTGCTGGTGCCACTCTGTGCAAAGTAGAGGTGTCCATCTCTGGGGTTTGTGGCCTCTCCAGGCACAGGGGCTGTGGGCCTGGGGGGCTCCGGAACACTCATTTCTAACAAACTCCCAGGGAACTAAAGGTGCTGGCTGAGAGCCCTCTTTTGAGAATACCAACCCAGAGTAGAACAAAGCCAGGGGAACTTAGCACCCCCATGTTTAATTTGGGGTGGTAGGACTGTGTGTATCTAGGAAAACACTTTATGGGTGGCCCCTTACTCTTTTTCTTTGATGTGGCCAGAAGGCACCTGGATCTCCCCTCTTCCCATCTCCATGGAAACCTAATACTCAAAAAAAAAAAAAAAAAAAAACCTTAAGACTTAACATCTCAACTGATTGGAACCCTGACCCTTTCAGAAAGCGACACAAGCTTCAGTTTATGTGTATTTCTTACTAAATGTGTCTGTCTGCATGTGTAATAGCGAGCCTCTTAACTAAGGTTTATTCTGATGTGAGAAAGGGAAGTCACAATATGAAAGCAGATGCCAAGCAGCGTGGTGAGGTACTCAAAATGTTTTGTGAGTGTTTTTGCATTGCTTTGGTTTTTGAGTACAAATTGAGCACTGAACACCTGGCGGGCCTCATATTCCCCTAGCAGGAAGGGATCACTGCACAGGCGGGCAGCGTGAAGTGACTCCTAGAAGAAGCAAGTTTGGCTTTGTACATGCATCCGTTAAAACCTGCAGTGACTAAGCAAAGCAGCAGCTTTCCTGGCAGTGTGGGCAGGGTGTCAGCAGGAAGGGACCCCACAGAGACCACGCATGCAGTGAGATCTCTGCTCAGGGGACTGGCACAGAAACAAGCTGGCTGCCCTGGGCCAGAGATGAGGACCCACAAGCAGGCATCCGTGACACACAAGCCCCACGCTGGGATTCTGACCCAGATCTGGCTGTGGCATTGGGTCCACGAAAACCAGCATTTCTGTGAAGCCACAAGCTGTATGTGGTTTTGAAGACAATGTGTGTGTTATTTGGGGAGGCCCATCATACGCAGTGATTACCTCTTAAAGTACATGTGGCTACGTTTGCTATAGAATTGCCCCCGTGTATGGTTTTGGTGGCTGATGCAGAGGCCAGGTAAGCAAGCCAAGACTCAAGACAGCCAGAGTACGGTGCCTGCTTCGCACTTGGCCGCCCGCCCTCAGCGGTGGACGTCCTCAGCAGGAAGCTGTCCTTGGGGTGGCGGGTGCGGAGTGCCCTGCACCCGCCTGCTCTGCCCACTACAGCGTGCTCTCCCCCTCCCACAGACGCAGCCAAGCCCTTCAGCATGGTGGTCTTTCACTGCCGCCACATGTTCCACAAGGAGTGCCTGCCTGTGCCCAGCGTGGTGAGTGGGGTCTGGAGCAAAGAGAAACTGAGGCAGTGCTGGGGGTGCGCTCCTGTGGCTCTGTGGGATTTACACTGTGCTGTGTACCCAGCATTCTGTACCCATGGGTGCAGTGTTCATGGGTAAAAGCAACCTCAGATCAGAAGTGTTGCAGGGAAGTTGCCTCAGAATGGCACATTTACTTTTTTTCTTACCATTTCCTAAAGAATGCAGAATAGGAGACACTTGTATAGCATTTGCATTGTGTTAAGTGCTGTAACTAATGCAGAGAGGATGTGAAGCTATGTAGCTAGCACGAGCATAGGTTGCATAGGTCCGGTTATATAAGAGACTTGACCACCAGGGAGTTTTGGTACCAGAATCGAGGGCCCTAGAATCGACCCCCCATACCAGAGGAGGTGTAAGATAAGTTGTCTACTTCTCAAATACTAAGATGTGAAGGATACTTAGGGGAACATTAAAGAAGTCCTCAGGGAAGTGAATTCATTCAGTGGAATTTCTGGCGGGTGAGCCGTAGACTTGCACAGCACAAAGCTAATTTAGGTCCTGTGGGGTTTTCTCACCCTAACCTGAAAAGAGCATCTGTCCCTGCCCCAGCCCTGGGAGACATTCCTGCAGCTGTGCCTCACACTAGAGCTGCCGAGTAGTCCTCTTCTGAATTTGATGTGAACCAAAAATAACATCCCAGAAAGGAGCGCTGCTGGGTCCTCCCTGTCCACCTTGCCCCACTCTCGGTACTGTAGTAAAGAGGGAGGAGATAAATGCTTTTGTTCATCTGGATTTTTAAATTACCTTTTCAGAATTCTGTGCAGTACTGCAACATCTGTAGTGCTAAGAACCGCGGGCCAGGAAGCGCGATTTTGGAGATGAAGAAGTAGCGGGGTTCTCGGAGGCTGCGCCTGCTGCAGCAGTTCAGAGACCGCGTGCACACAGTTGCTGCACCCTGCACGGATGAGAACTCAGGCTGTCCCAAGCCTACAGAGTCCCTGTTCACACTCACTATCTCATCAGCTGCTTATAGGGCATGTTCTTCAGCAACTGGGCGCTGCTGAGTGTCACGCTGTCTTGGGACAGGGCCGGCTGCAGGGGCTCCACACTCACTGCTGCCACAGCATGGCCCTGTGTTATGCTTGCTTCCCAAGCTCAGCCTTTTTCATGTCTTCACTCGGTGACCTTCTTAATGGGCCTTTTAATGAAACACTGCAGCTTCTCATTCATTCCAAAACATCTGGGAGCAGCACTGGATGCAGCTGGTGGCAGCGTTGTGCGTATTTGTCCTCGTGTTCTGTGCATGCTGATGACCAGCTGGTGCCTGGGCCTGTCAGGTGCTCAGCATTTGTTGACTGAATAAATGTTAGCTCTTTTCATTGCCTAAGACTCATTTTCATTGGGTTAAACAACGGTAATCAGGAAGGTTCGTGCCCCTTTAAGGAACAGAGAGAGGTTCCTCTCTGGCACCTCGCTAGCTAGGGATCATGGTGGAGGTTTGCTGTTAAGCAGGAAAGGCGCAACCCTGTCAGAATAGAGAGGGCGTCTCAGGTGAAATGGGGTGAAGTCTGGTGTCCCCTTTGCCTTCTGTGGAGCCGCCCACAGAACAGCATGAAACAGCCAGTCACCATGTCTTCTGACTGGTTGGGCACCTTTGTTCTCCAGAGCTGCAGGGAGGAGCTGCTGCATGTCTGCAGGACAGGAAGGAAGCCATTACAGAGATGCTGGGCTCACAGAGGTGTCTGCCCGGGCCCCCCGGTGCTCCTTGTCACTCCTCACCCTTTGGGAGACGCCAGGAGGAAAAGCAGCATGTGTGCTTCATGGACTTAAGATTCTCTCATGGACAACAGATTGGTTTGTCCTAAATATGCAGTTGGAACGGCAGGATCTCCTGTCAGTCGGGACCCCTCCCTTCCTGGGCGCTGCCTGTTCACAAGATGGGCTCTTTACAACTTTACCACAAGTTCTTAAACTCTTCCCAAAACCAGAAGTAAAACCCCAATATTTTACTATTTTCAATATAACAGCTTAGTGTAAAAATGCATTATTAAATGTATACTTTTTTCATTTATTGAAAATAATTACATATATTAAAAATTGTAGACAAATATGGAAATGTGAAAGATAAGATGTAGAAGAGTGATTTTTAGAGAAATATTTCTGAAATGAATACATAGCATGAGATTAATAGATTGCACACTGTAAATTATTTACAAACTTAAATGAATATAACAAAAAATGTCCAAAATAAAAGTGAAGAAGAAAGAAATCACAGATCAGTCATATAGTAGTTCACTCTGTCAAAATCAAGAAGCTTATATTCATATAATTAGAATTCTCAAGGTAGAAAGGGGTAGGCAATAAATATTTGAAGATTTAAAATTTCTGAATTTAGTTCAACACCACATTTCCAAGAAAAATGAACCTTTTGCACAAGAAATTTGAATAAAATACCAAGATATACAAAAATGAAATCATCCAAAACTTATTATAAAGAAAAAAATCATTAAAGTGTATACATAAAAAAATTAGCTATGAAAGAACAAAATTAAATAGCATCTTATTCTACATTAGAAAGAACGTAAGAAGCTAAAGGACTGAAAAAAAAATCTGTCCTCTGCATTTTAGACTTAGCAAACATCTTTGAAACTAAAAATAAAATATTTTCCAGTTATACAAACTTGAAATATTCTAATACCTCCAGACATAGCATTTAGGAAATAACAAAGAGCATAATTCAAAAGGCAAGAGAAGTTGCAGTATGCTCCTGGATGAACAATAAAGAGCTCTCAAAATGATAGTTATGCAGGACTACATAAAATATATTAGATGAACCCTTATTTAAAAGGTCATTAAAGATTTCTATGAAACAGTACCAATCATATATCGGGTTATACACGTATTTCTTTCATATATATGTGTGTGTATGTGTGTACAAAAGACAGGGAACAAATAAAGTGAACAGAAAATGGAAGTATACTTTTTAAAGTTTCTAATAACTAGGAGAAGATATCATACCATGTCTTTTAAATAATTGTAAGTCAAAGACATAGTATAAATCTTAAAACAAAATTAAGATTGAGCAATATTGAGAAAATTAAATACTAAATAAAAAGTACTGTTTCAAAACAATTGAACTAAGAAAAAGTTTTCATGATGATAGTAAAGAAGCACTAAGAATAAAACCTAAGATAAATACTGGAATGGCAAATAAATGATTAGCACTTCTAACAGTTTGGGGATAGGATATCACACAAAGTTCTAGTGTGTTGTGGACATGGATAATGTTCATGACCCTTACTGGTGGCCAGGTGTCACTTGTGGACTGAGCTACTGATATTCCTTGAAATCTACCCTGTAGGCTCAGATGGAATCATGATCCATAGGGTGGAAGAGAAGTCCATTTGTAGAGTGTGCTGCTGGAAATATTTTGCTGCTGTATACAAAAGAATAACTGAAAGACTACTTTTGGATACTTCTTATTCTCCAGTGTTTAATTGTTTGCCCTATTTGGTGGGTTCTTTCCATTCTCATTCATAGTTGTGGTCATTTTACTCCCTCTTTAGAACATCATTTAGTAGTCTGCATAAGCTTGGCTTTGTCATCATAAAATTCTTAAGTTGTTCTTTGTCATGGAAGTATTTCACTTCTTCTAACCCTAACCCTAGAAAGAGAGTTTTGCAGGGTATATCAGTCTGGGTTGGAATTTGTTTTCTTGCAAAATTTGTATTACTTCGTTCCATGCTCTTCTTGACTTCAGTTTGTGAAGAGAAATCTGCCATTACTCTGATGGGTAAATGTTTACTTTCTTAGGCAGGTTCATTTTTTTAAAAGTTCAGTTATAAAACCATCAAGAGGGTTTGCTGATTTTCATTAAGTCATTTTATTTAAGGGCAAATTATACTAACTTCCACCTGGCTATAAAGGATATTCTAAATATAGAAAATGAGATAGTAATTAAACATTTTTTTCACTTTCAAATAACTGACTTATGAAGAAAATATTGATGTTTACTCCTCATTTCAAAAGTAATATGTTAGAAAATTTCTGAACATTTTATTTTTAAGAAACCAGTTCTCCATGTAGATTCATTTTTCTTTTGAATAAACTATCAGATGATTATACTAAACCATCCAATCTTTTTACTTCATCTATGAGTTTGAATACAGCAAAATAAAATGCAGTCCGTTATTTTTCATGTGTGACTGGTTCAATTTAAAATTAAGTCCACTGGGTATAGTGGCTCCCACCTGTAGTCCCAGCACTTGAAGGGCTGAGGCAGGAATATCACCGGGAGCTCGAGGCCAGCCTGGGCTATGTGAGTGAATTCAAGGGCAGCCTGCACTGAACAGGGAGACCGTGTCTCACAAAGAAAAAAAGAAAATTAGGTCAAAAGCCAACCTAGAGAAGGGAAAAAAGAAAACCACTGCAGAATGGATGGGTATTTCTTTTGAGAAGTTGCCAGTAAATTTCTAGGTAATTTAATTGCTGTTTTGGTACTAAACAACTAACTTTAGTATTAAAAAGTCAAGTATTTATAGAGCAAATGCTGTGTGTCAGTCACTGTTCTAAGCACTTTGAATATATGATTTAATTACCATATGCCCTAGTGAGGTAAGCATTCCTGCCATAATCAGTGAGCAAACTGAGCCACACAAAGGCTAAGCAGTATATTAACTTTCCCATCACTGTGCAAAATAACCCAACATGCACAACGTACAGAAGACTGTTTGGATCCCAGTTTCAGAGGGTTGATTTCATCGTTTGCAAAGTCCAAGGTGGGAATGGCAGAGCGAAAGGGAGTGTTGCAGAAAAGCTGCCCATCCATGGCAGCCAGGACGGAGAAAGGCCCGTGCCCTTGTGCTTCCAGCCAGACCCTGTCTCCTCCCAGCATACTCACCCATGAGCCTGTGAAGGGCAGCGTCTTGATGAGCACAGTGCCCCCGTAATCCAGTCACCTCTACACACTTGTTTTGGTCAGTGGCTAGGAGGCAGAATCCACTTTTGCAACACATAGGGATTGGTGATATGGCATCAGATGGCTCATGGAATGGCTGATGGGGCTGAAGAATCCATAAGGAAGATTCCAGAATCATTCACCAAGATGCCCTGCAGACCTGGGCAGCAAGAAACCGCCGGCCTGCCTGCACCAAAGGCTGCTGCACCTGAACTGTACGTCCTAGTTTTTAAAAAGATAAATCCAGGGCTGGGGACATAGCTCAGCACACATATGCACCTGCCTGGAAAGTGCAAGGTCCAGAGTTCAGTCCCCAGTACTGCAATTGAAAAAAAAAAAAAAAAAATGTATATCCCTGTTTCTTCTAAAGCTCCCAGTAATATTAAAAAACTAATACGTATACATAGGTACCTAGGCTATTTCTACTTAATGAATTTGTTCTCTGTCATCAAGGTGCAGACTATTAAAATGTCACTAATTTTGATACTAAGCTGTAACTTTCACTTCCTATCCCAGACTCTTGGCCTAACATCAGTGTGTAACATGTGGACTAAGGTGCCTTTCTCCTTTTGAGTGCAGTGCAGGATTGAGGGTGATTTGGGTCCATGTGACCTTAAAAGGAAATGTGAGACCTGAGAGAGGAAGTCTTGGCCTGCAGAAGCAGATCCCCCTGAGGAAACCATTGTCCAGGCTCTGAAGTGAAATCCTAGTCACATACTGTCCCCCTGTCCAGCCCCTTGAGTCCCTCACCCTGTGAGTGGAAGGACTTGTGGCCTTGGGCTCAAAATCTGCAACTCATTGTATTTAACTTCGTATTTGCACTCTGAGCTGGGGCCATAGTGACTTTATTTTTGGCTTTCCTGCTGCTAGCTTCCCTTCAGTGCCCTGCTAATGGGTTCCCTCCCTCACTCGGAACTCTAGGGACTGATGAGGAGTCTCACCTTTATATAGCCCCTGGGGACCTACAATGCTTCAGTGCATAGAGCAAATGTAAAGTCTGTCCACAAACTCAGGTCTGCAAAGAAAAAGTCTATAAAGTTCAAATCCTACCCGGTGGGAAGAATTTCATCATAGCTCATGGTGAGCTCAGATCAATTAGACTTTTCTTGACTGGTTCAGGGTTCCCCTTCTCACTTGTATCATTTAGAAGTTGTAGGGTAGGAGGGATGGTCTTCCCTGGTCCCAATATCAAGGAGAAGGTGGCATCTGCACTTCAGCTAACCTCTGTTCATGCTGGTATCAGCTGAAGTGCTGTTGTCCCCACCAGTCTTCTAGTGCCAGTGTTCACTGCCAGCAGCTCTGAGACTACAGCCCTTTTGGCTCTGGTGTTTAGTTCTCGCTCTGACACTGGTACTGCTAGCTTACCATGCCTAAGACCACACTGGGGGCATGAGAGGGAGTCGAAGAAGGTGTGTATTGCTACTT